TTCAAGAGATAAAAATAAATAATATATAATCACTAATTATAAAGAATGCCAAAATGGAAACCTAAATAATTTTCATTAAAGGTGCCAAAATGGCTCTGAAATCGTTACAGAAAGTGATTACATAATAGAGAGAAATAAGATTTAGAAGGGAAGATTAGCTTTAATCTGGAGATACTTGATCCTCTGCAATTCTAGCCTTCGATCACATAAAGATTTTGATTGGTGAAGGGTTTCGAGCTTAGCATCCAGAGATTGAGCTCGATCGACATGTCTTAACCCTTCAGCCAATTCTTCTTGGCTTTCTGACTCATTGTTCACAGCAAGAAGCTGCTCTTTCTTTTTATCGTTGGCAGTGATTTTTGCTTCCAACTCTGCAATTTGTGCTCTCAACTGAACATTGTCTTGATCAATCCCCTCGACCTCCTTTTTCCTAGCCTCCTGGGCCTTCGATAAGTCCTTTACTCTATAAGTGGATTCAGTGGCAGCAGCCACTTGGACATTGGCTTCCTCAATCTCACGATTAAGGATTCTCTGACGATTGAAGTCTGTTGATACTTGATAGACAATAGAGAGTAAATCCAAGATTACACTGGCTACATCCGGAGGGGCAACAAGAAGATCGACAACTTTCAAGATAGTCTTCAGATAGGAAGGAGCGGCTGGTTCCCCCTTTAAAGTTAACAGCAAATCTCTTTTAAAGATTTGTGCTTTAACCTTTTGAAGAGCCTCGTCGAGAGGGGAAGTCGAGGTAGATCTGCCAGATGCAGTCAAGGCACTGCTATCAGAGGAACTCTCTCGACCCTCCAAGATTGCAGTCAGATAACCTAACGGATTTTGTTGCTTCAGTAAAGCCAAATCCTCTTTGGTTTTGGATCCCGTCGAAGGGATGCTTGCGTTGGCTGTAATAACCACGTTAGGTACTTGAGTAGGAATTGCGTCAGTACCTGGAGGATTTTGGTTTCCTTCAGCCAAAACTTCTTCACCCTCAGCTTCTGGGATCTTCACATGTTCCCTCTCTGTTTCAGTTTCGACGCCAGGGATACCTTCCTCCTCAGTCCCTTGCACTTCGACCAGAGGAATCCTAACCTCCTCTTGGTTTACTTCAGCTTCTTCTTCATCAGCTTCTTCTATGGTTTCGTGTTGGGGTTCAGAAGTCTGATTTACTTCGTCAGCTGAACTCATAAAGGAGTCTTTCGCTGAAGAGGGCATGTAGGTAGGATTCCCGTCACTATTCAAGCAAGTGTTCGAATCCTCGACATGAGTAGGATTTCGTGTCGAAGTGCCAGCAGTGTCCTGGAAAATAGAAAGAATTTATTTCTTTTAAAAGCGTCACAAAGTAAAAGAGAGTGAGAAAAGTACATAACAAGCAGTCGAAGTAGATACTTGTACTGGGATTTCAGCACCAGGACTAGAGTTATCACTTTCACTAGGATTTTTTAACCTAGCGATTACCTCTTGTTCAGTGGGTTCATTGATGATGACAGGAGGTAGCCTCCCAGCCGAAGTTTTAATCCTGATTTTTGGACGGGTTTCGACGGCAGGAGTTGGTTTTTTCATTCTTCGTCTCTGCAAAGGAACAGGTGGAGACTCCTCTTCCTCATCGCTAGAGATTTGGATCTCCCGAACCTTCCGTTTTTTCGGAGTAAGTTTCTGGATACCCAGGAAATCAAGTCGAAAGAGGTCAGGACCTTTGTTAGATAAAAAATGAGGATTCGAAGAATAAATAAATACCTTAGGAGAAGGGTTGACAGCAGAGTCTCCCCCTTTTGTACTCTTAGTGGTTTTCTTCGAGGTAACCCTCTTGACAGCTAAACAGAGGGAAAAACAACTATAGTTAATTAGGTGTTGAAAAAAACAAATCTAAGACGAAGGGATGGAAAAAGGGATACCTTTTTTGACTCTGTCGAGAACCATCTTGAATGCCTCACGTAGATGGTGGGCGAAGTCCTTCTCATCGAAGAACTCTTCATCATAATAATGTTTCCACCATGTCTTAAAAGTGGCAGAGTTCAGAAAATGAAGGTTAAAGTCGAACATGGTCAGTGTAGTTCGACCAGAATACCTACCAATATGCTTGGTAGCGGCATCCTCTGAGTAATCTGCATTATAAAAAAGTAGCAGTTTCTCTCGAGGATAAATAGGCGAAGGAAGCGATTGAGCAATGCCAAACTGTCGAGAGACAAGATTGTGTTGATAAGCAATTAAGCTCAATTGGTTCTTCGAGCTCTTAAATCTTAAAGGCATGATCCTGGGGCAGAGAAACGCTTCCCACATGCACACGAACTCATCAGTCACGTCATCCTCTTCATCCGAAGGATATGGTCTAGTGAACCATTCCGGGCCAACTTTTCGACTGGCAAAGGGAGCCATAGTCGAAACAAAGCTCTTTCGCTCTGCAAACATCATTATGAAGCTTATAAAGGCCTTTTGAAACTGTTGGCCTTCATCAGTGGGAGTTAACAATGCCAACTTGGTGCCTTCGACCCTCCTGTTCAAGATTTCAGGAGCTTCTTCATTGATCTTGTTCTTTTGAGGGAGGAAGGATTCGAAGGTGGCGTTAAGCCACAATTGCAGGAGCCAAAAGGGACCAGATAGCAGTAAGCTTCCTCTGTCTCCTAGAACCTTAAGTTGAGTCACACCATTACTGATGGACTCATATAAGTTGGCCAGAATCAATTCGGCCAAGCAAAGAGGGTATTTGTGATGGAGTTGTGTTGCAAGCGTCAGCATCTTTTTCGTCACCTGCAGTGATTTAGTGCAGAAAACAAATCGAGACAGCCACATGGCCAAGAAGGCTATGTGATCCACCTCCGACACGGTATTTGAGGCCTTGTCATGAAAGTGGTTTATGAAGGTAGTATAAGTGGGTTTGGTAGCAGCAAACCCAATAGGATCCTCAGACAAGTCTTCAGGGTCGAAATAGTCACCAGTGGGTCGAAGACCAGTGATGGCAGCTATGTCGAACAAAGTAGGAGTCATCATCCCACAAGGAAGATGAAAAGTGAAATGTGAACTATCCCAAAAGTACAATGAGGATACCAGCATAAGGGGGCAATAAGGTAACCCTGTCTTCGACAACATCACTAAGTCATAGATGCCCATCTCCTTCCAGACAGAAGCTTGCACCCTTTCCATTTTATTCAACCAGTCGGAGTATTCAGAAGAAAGGTTAGGACTTGATCGAAAGATTCGATTCCCTTTGTTCATGAACTGGAGGTTGATATCATCAGTAGTTTGAGGATGTTGCTGGTTAGCCGGTGTAGCATCTTCAGGGTCTTCCCTAGGTTTTTTGGCACAACCTATGGGTCTAAGCCTTGGGTGTGTAGGAAAAAAGGCACGATTTTTTAAGGGATTTTCGACGCATGAAGATAACGGGCCGGACATAGCATACATGTTTCCGCCGTATCTAACGGGAATAAGGAGTTGAGAATCATAGGCTTCTCGCCATTCTCTCATAGGTTCAGCAATGTACCTGTTAGTCGAGGAAGAAAGAGGGTTGGTGGAAAAGATCTCTGGTGGTTTCGGAACATCATTAGCATTTTTTGGTTGCGGATTGTTTGGGGCATTAGAGAGAAAGGCCATTGTTAAAGACTTAAGAGAAAGAGCGAAGGTGACAGTACAATGTTGTGAGAATGCAAGGGGTTTGGAAAAGCTGAAAATGATAAAAGTTATAAATAGAAAAGCTTGGAAGTATTTATAGCCTTCAGAAGTGGGAGATGTCTCGTCAAAGGCATTTAATGTTTCGCAGGTAGTGGGGCACGTGGCAAGGCATGAAACGATTACCGTGCAGGCATTGGGAAACGTTGGGACATGCTTGCCTAGATTATAGGAATATGGCCATCATGGCAAGCGTGGTAACAGCAGTTTTGAAGAGACATCTTGGAGAAAAGTAATGATGGTTTTACCAAGTATAGCAGCTGTTGGAAGGTGAAAAGCACACGTCAAAAACTTGGTGGACAACTGGGAAGACAGGTGTCGAATGGGAAGTTCAAAGAATGGCTATTTCTTTGGGCGTCGAAATAGATATTCTTGGGGGGCAATTTGTTAGCTCCCAAATTCGACACTTACTGTATTTGGTCTTTTGGACCAAACAACTGGAATGAACTAAACCAGGAGGTATGATTCGACACATGAGATAACTTAGGAAAAAGGATCTAAGTAATGGTAAGAGTCTTCGGCCGAGGGTTCATTTGAATGAAGCAGATTTAGGTTGTTCGACTGAAGGAAAGTATTTGCGCCTTGACACATGGGACGAAGACAATCAGGTGGCTTCGAATAAGCCCACCTGAATCAATTTAATAAAAAAATAAATTATGGTGAATTCAGATATATATATGCGAAGTCACTTTATCTTGAAAAAAATAAATTTAAATATACACATCTGAAATCTGAGAATATTTTTGATTTTTTGCCAAAGATCTCTAAAAAAAACACAGGGGTGACTAAAAAAACTTTCTAAAAATCATAGCATTATTTTAAAAATTGGGCTTGACCCAACTTTTACTTTTTTATTTTTAACTATGTAAAAAGCTAGAAAAAAGTTACTTTTTATTTTTAACTATGTAATAAGCTAGAAAAAAGTTGAACAACTCGTACACAAGATACGTTTGTTTCAAGTTTAAGAATTAAATTCTTAGAAATAATTTTAAGAAAATGATTATACTCATGTTTGTTAAGAGTTTGAAGAAAAATTATTAAAATTCTAAGAAATAAAATAATTTGTAATAACTTTTATAATTTCAATAATTTTATTTCTACGTAAGAATGTGAGAATGTTCCTTCCTATGAAATTTCACATAATTCGTTTTATTAAAATACTGAATTTCTTAAGAATATCAAATATTTTCTTTTAAAAACACCTTAAAATCAAACTTTATTTCTTTTATTTTGAGAAACCAAATACACCCGTAACATTTCTCTCAATGAAGTGAAGAGTAGTTAGTATAAAAAATAAGTAATAATTTTAAGAATAAAAGTGTGTTGATACATACATTAAGAAACTAGGGAACAAAATACATAGGATTGGGAAGTTTGAATGTACGGTTTCCACAAGAGTATCCTTGGAGATCACTCCATTGGTCTCCCACATTACCCCATATTCTATAACCTTCCATTTCGAGATTCTTTCTTACATTTGATTTATATGTTACTGCACTTTCTCCTTTATATACAGGTGTCCTTTATATACAAGTATAAAAGTTAGTTAGACCAAATATATTTAAAATTAATATTTAAATAATTCTAGGTCTTACCTCATAATGAGTCGGTGATATCCAATAAATTTTTGATTATGCAAGTTGTCAATAGTAACTTGACCAAGTATCTCTTTATCTCTTCCAGTAAGGAGTATTACCTTAAATCCATTATCTATCAACTTGTTAAATAACCTTAATACAGGAGGAACGGCTGTACACCATCCTCTCATTGCCCATGTCCTAAAAGCTGCTGGATCATATGGCTCACACCTACATATATATTTTTTAGATTTACTAATTACAATATAATTCAAATCACCGCTTTAAACACTAACAAAATATCCATAGATGATTCTCTTATATATCCAAACTTTCATCAATATATATTATGAGCAATGCTTCCTTATACTAAAATTAACACTAAATACTTACATTCGACTATTGTTTACTGTGAATAGTATAAATAATGCATGAATAATAAATTTTAATGTAAAATAAAATTGATTGAGAAAAAATAAAAAATAAATCAATAAAATGATGAAGTTACTTAATAAATATCGAAATATTAAGAATATTTTAGTAAGACAATATAATTGATTAATAAAATTAAAAAATTGATTAATGAAACGGTGAATTTAATTAATAAATATTCAAATATTAAAAAATGATTTTTAATAATTAATAAAGTTGGTTAATGAAAAGTAAAATATATATTAATAAAGTTATGAAGTTAATTAATAAATGTCAGATATTAAAAATAATTTTTAATAATAATATGAAATTAATTAATTAAATATAAAATATTGATTAATAAAATTATGAAATTGATTAATAAACATCTATATATTAGAATTAATTTTTAATAATAAATAAAATTGATTAATAAAATATAAAATGTTGATTAATGAAATTATGAAGTTGATTAATCAAACAATTTTATATCAATATTATTTAATCAAAAAATATTGAAAAAATTATATATATTTTTAAAATTATTTATTATTATAATATTTTACTGTTTACTATATTAATGAATAATAAAATACCATATAAATGTAAAAATTAATGTCAAAATAATAATTTTTTTATATACTATAAATGTGATATTGTTTTTTTTTTAATAATAATGTGATATTGTGTTTTGTAATATCAAATGTTAGTAGTTAGGTTTTTCTCTTTTGTCAAAGATTGAAGGCATGACATCCAATTCTTTCAATGTTTAGCTCAAAAAGCTAAATCTAGTTAAGCTACCTCTTTTCCAACGAGGAGAGGTTTGAATTTAAAGTCTCTACCACTCTTCTTATAGGAGTCCACAATCATTCTATTATACAAATAAATAGAAGTAATAGATTCTCTTGTCTTTTGGTCACTATTATAAACACTAAAATACTTTTTAAATTTATTGAATAAATAATATATTTAATCATTATATATATATATATATATATATATATATATATATATATATATATATATATATATATATATATATATATATATATATATATATATATATATATATATATATATATATATATATATATATATATATATATATATATTATTTTTTATAATAATAATTAGAGAAAGTGCATCTCTTTAGATATTAATATATATTGTTGACTTTTTATTTACTAACACCAACTTATTTTTACGCTATCAATTTCTCATATAAACCAAAAAAATTTAAGATATATTTTAAAAACACTCAATCTATTGAATCACATGACTTCTCAAAATCAACTTTCAACATAAAACAATCCTTATTGAACCTCTTGTTGACTTTTTATTTAGTAACACTAACTTATTTTTACGCTATCAATTTCTCATTATAAACCAAAAAATTTCAAGATATATTTCAAAAACACTCAATCTATTGAATCACATGACTTCTCAAAATCAACTTCCAACATAAAATAATCTTTATTGAACCTCTTGATAGTTAATCACATTATTAACCACAAACACATCATCCCTCAATTCTGTACTTTTAGGGAAGTTAACAACACAAGAGAAATTTGATTTTTTTAAAATTTATTAAATAATCAATATATTTGATTTATAATATAGTTTAAATATATTAATTATTCAATAAACTTAAAAAATTAAATTTCTCTTATTAATAGAACCAGAACCGAAGATAATAAAATAAAAGACTTTTTGAAAGCTGAACACTCTCATGAAAATGAAAATGACCAAACAAGACTCTAACATCTCATTTCATGATAACATGCCAAATTAAATTATAGTTCAATAATAAAGAAATTAATTGATAATTAAACACACATAATTAAATATATTAAATATATAACCATAGAGATAACATACATACCCATAATTCTTGCTTTTGTAATAATAGATGTTGGAGAGGCAGGTGTCATCAACATCCAAAATCCAAGCATCCATGCCATCTCCAACAATGGATATACCATTCACATAATCCAAAGCTTGTTCCATTATCAACTCCAGGTCCCTTTCATACTGTCCATGGATCAAGTAATCTTCAACATATTGTGAACATTTATTTGGAACTGTTCTCCATGGAAGTTCATTATTTGTTTCCACTGCCAATCTCCAACTCAAGCAAAAACTTCCATCAATTGTGCTAATAATAGGCTCTTTTGTGCTTGGTTGTGATTTTATAGCAATCGCCTTGCACAACAATGCCAAAAAGAAAAGTACCAAAAGCTCTCCTTGTGCCATAATTCCTTATGATTCTGAAAGGTATAGAAGAAAGAGTGTGTTTGCTTGAAAAAATTAATGCCTATATATATTAGTGTATTTTGTTTACTAAATATTTATTTTCATCTAAAATAAAAGGGATTGACAATTTGACATTGACATGAACATTTTTTATTTTGAAACCAAAGTGCATGGAATAATTAAAGGCTAGTAGTGTATGAGATTTTTCTTTTGCCTATAGCTAGATGGGCTTCTATCATGGTCTACAAAGTGCGTTATTATGGTGCAGTAGAAACTATTAAATTTTGAGAAAAGAAATAACTAAATATTTCTCTTTAAATTTAATTGCTTCTCTAGGTTGAAAGTGTATTTTTTTTTGTCGAAGTAGGCTATTGTTTGGTATAAGTTGTGTCGAATTAATCTATCGAACCGTAAAAACAGTTCATTACACATAAATTTGATTTTGATCTAAAATAAATAGATTTGATTTAGATCTAAAATAGATAGATTTGATTTAGTTTCAAAATAAGTATTTTGGGCTTTTCTAGTTTTGATTTTGGCTTAGAGAGCAAGCCAACTTAAATCTATAAATAGTGAGAGTAAACTCTATTTTTGTAATTAAGTTGTATGCACATAATTTACAGTTGCAGGTAAATAAGAAGTTTTCCATAATTTGTGGGCAGAGAGAAACTCTGCAGAAAATCATTATCTTTCTTTCTTTCATATTTTTTCATTGTCAGAATGTGGTGATAACAATCTTCTTGTTCATCAAGAGAAATTCATCATAGGATTTGGTGGATTTCCAATATTTGGTATCAAGAGTTCCGGTTGAGCGATCAAGGGAAGAAGAAGAAAATTACAATGACGATGAATCATCCAAACGAGCACTTTCCAGCGAGTCTTCCAATTCTTAAAGTTTATAACTAGAGAATTGATGCAAGCAGGTGAAGGTTGTGTTTTGTTGTCAAGATCTTTGTGATCTTGTGAAATATGGATTAGAACTACTTGAAGAAGACGCCTCAGAAGAAGAAGAAAAGGAATACAAAGAATCAAAAAGAAAAATTATAAAGCTCTCTTTATAATTCATCAATGTCTGAGTCCAGATAATTTTGAAAAGGTTAGTGATGTAGAATCTGCAAAAGAAGCCTCGGAGATTCTTAAGAAATCTTTTGGAGGTGTAGAAAAGGTGAAAGATGTGAGGTTACAAACTCACAAAAGAACGTATGAATTGCTTTAGATGGAAGATAGAGAAAGTATATTTGATTTCTTCACTAGGGTTATGAAACTAGTGAATCAAATCAAAGTTTGTGGAAAGACGTTAACAATAAGAACTGTTGTTTCAAAGATCTTTAGATCTTTGGCTATAAAGTTCGACCATGTGGTAGTTGCCATAGAAGAGTCGAAGGACATGTCAACTTTTTCAAAGGAAGAGCTTCAAGGAACACTTGAATCTCATGAACAAAGAATGGCTGAAAGAGTTGCAGGAAAGTCGAAGAGTGATGTGGTTTTGCAAGCTCAATCAACAAAAGATAATAAAGGCAAAGAAAAGTGGTCGACGACAAAGGTAGAGGAGGCTACAACAATTTGACTGGGAGAGGAAATCAGCACGAAGAAAACGTGTTGAATCAGAGAAGACCATACCAAGGCAACCAAAAAGGTAGTGTTGCAAATAGAGGAAGAGGTGGTGGTCGAAAGCCTGACAAGAGTCACATTCAATGTTTCAATTGTCAGAATTATGGTCATTATTCTAGTGATTATCCAGAAAAGTGAAAGAATCAAGAAAGAGATGCAAAGTTTGTAAAACTTGAAGAAGAAGAGATAATGTTGATGGTCAAAATAAGAGATGACGATAGATTCAAGGACAAATGGTACTTGAATTCTGGATGCTCATCACACATGTCTGGAAGGAAAGATTGATTTATCAACATAAAATCCTCGATAAAGAACACGGTGAAATTCAAAAATGACAATACCCTAGCAACTGAAGGTATTGGTGATGTCATGCTTATGAGGAAAGATGGCAAGAGGTCAGTAATTTCCAATATGTTGTACATACCAGGCATGAAGAGCAATTTGCTCAGTATAGGGTAGTCGGTCGAAAATAACTACAAAGTGTCGATCAAAGACAAGATGATGAGAGTCGTCGAAGCAAATGGAAGGTTAATCTTGAAGGCTCCTATGTCTCAAAATAGAACCTTCAAGATTGAAATTAATTTGATGGAGCACAAGTGCCTTTCGAATGTAGCTATTAGAGATGAATAGATATGGCACTATCGACTAGGCCATCTCAACATCAGAGACATCAGATATTTGAAAAGAAGAAACATGGTTTCAGGGTTGCCTTAAATCGATATTCCAAACGAGTTGTGTGAGGAATATGTGTAAGCGAAGCAGCACAAGAACAACTTCAACAACGATGCAGAAAGCAAGTTGAAATCATATATTCTGATGTATGTGGACCAATCCAGGTGAATTAGAATGGAGGTAACAAATACTTTATTACATTCATAGATGATTTTAGTCGAAACTGTAGACTTACCCAATCAAGAAGAAAAGTGAAGTGATCGAGGTATTTGTTAAGTTTAAATCTATGGTCGAAATACAAAATGGTTGAAAGCTTAAAGTTTTGAGATATGATGGTGGTAGAGAGTATGTGTCGAAAGACTTTGACATGTTATGTGAGAAAGAAGGGATTGTGCATGAGGTGGTGCATCCCTACACTCCACAGAAGAATGGAACTGTAGAAAGAAAGAATTGAACAATCATGAACATGGTGAGAAGTATTTTGAAAGGAAAGCATTTACCTAAAGAGTTTTAGGGTGAAGCTGTGCCAATAGCAACATACATTTTGAATAGATGTCCAATGAAGAAGCTAGAAAGAATTACTCCAGAAGAATTTTGGTATGGTGTGAAGCCTAGCTTCAGTCATCTGAAAGTATTTGGATCTATTGCACATAGACATATGCCAGATCAGTTGAGAAGAAAACTTGATGACAAGTCGAGTCAAATGATCTTAGCTGGATATCATTCGACAAAAGGTTACAAATTGTTCAACCCAATGAACAAATAAATTATGATCATCAGGGACGTGATCATAGATGAGCTCAAGGAATGAGATTGGACTCAAAATGTCAAGAAAGATTCAATAAGAATCTTATTTGAAGAATCAACAATTGAAGTCGAAAGAGAAGTTCAACAAGAGGAAGTCATAGATCAACCAGGACCAAGCAGACCTCAGAGAACAAGACATATGCCTGCAATGTTGCAAGATAATGTTGTCACATCAGATAATGTTGTCGATAATGATGGTGAGCTGGTACATTATGCTTTCTTTGTTGATATCTAACTTGTCAAAGTAACTGAAGCATTGAAAGATTCGAAGTGGGTGAAAGCAATGAATGAAGAAGTGAAATCCATCGAAGACAACAACATTTGGTCACTTGTTAAATTGACTCAAGGCAAGAAGGAAATTGATGTCAAGTGGGTATACAAGCTGAAGTTGAATCCCAAAGGGGAAGTAACTCGACATAAGGCTAGACTTGCGGCGAAAATATTTCTTTAGAAGGAAGGAATTGACTTTGATGAAGTCTTTGTACCTGTGGCTAGAATTGAAACAATTAGGTTGATTGTTGGTCTAGCAAAAATGAATTGTTGGCACATATGTCAGATGGACATGAAGTGTGCATTCCTGAATGGACCCTTAGACGAAGAATTCTATGTTTTACAACTAATTCAGTTTATGAAGTATAGCAAAGAGATAAAGGTGTACAGGTTGCATAAAACCCTATATGGATTGAAACAAGCTCCAAGAGCTTGGAATAAGAAGATAGATAACTTTTAAGAGAGGAGGAATTTGTGAAGTGCACAACTGAACATGGAGTATATGTAAGAATAAGGAATAATGAATTGCTTATACTATATCTCTATGTCGATGACTTGTTAATAACAGGTAGCTGCAAGAAAGAGGTCGAAGACTTCAAAGGTGGTCTCGGAAAGGAATTTGAAATGTATGATTTGGGTGACATTTCATATTTCCTTGGCATCGAATTATACAAGAGCAGTAGAGGTTTGGTGATGCATCAAAGAAGATATGCAGGAGAAATTCTCAAGAAATTTGAGATGGAAGAATGCAACTCGACTACGACACATGTATAACCAAGACCGCAACTGTCGAAAGATGAAAATGAAGATGATGTTGATCCAACCCAATAAAGAAGACTTATTGGGTCATTGAGATACCTTTGTCATACGAGGCATGACTTAGCATACAATGTAGGTATGGTAAGTAGATTCATGTAGAAGCCAAAAGTATCACACCTAGCAGCGGCAAAGAGGATATTGAGGTATCTGAAAGAAACTCTTAACTATGGCATTCTGTTTATTACATCTGATAAAGGAAAAGAATGCAAGTTAGTGGGATAAACTGATTCAAGTTGGTGTAATGATGCTGAGGATCAAAAATCTATAACAGGATATGTGTTTATGCTAGGCGGTGCACCAATTGCTTAGAGTTCGAGAAAGGAACCAGTAGTAGCATTATTATCGTGTAAAGCAAAGTACATAGCTGCTTCTCTTTGTGCATGTCAAGCAACATGGATGGTGAATTTGGTCAAAGAGATTACTAGTAAAGATCATGGAGCAATTACCATGAAAAGTCGATAGCATGTCAACTATCAATCTGGCGAAGAATCTGATAGCACACGGTCGAAGCAAGCACATCGAAATGAGGTTCCACTGTCTTCGAGAGCAGGTAGCAGATGAGAAGATGAACTTGGAACACTGTAGAACTGAGAATCATATTGCAGGCATCATGACGAAGGGTGTGCATGTTGAAGTATTCAGAAGACTAAGAGCTATGATGAATATAGATAGCTTAGACACAATGAATCAGGTGGTGTGTGGAAGCAGATTGTTACACATATTTAATTTAGATCTAAAATAGATAAATTTTATTTAGGTCTAAAATAGATATATTTGACTTAGATCAGAAATATGTATTTTCACTACGCCATATAAGAGAA